AAAAAAAAAAAAAAAAAAAAAAAAAAACACGGCCCTTCAGGACGTCCGTTAAAATTGGAACGATGCAGAGAAGATTAGCATGGCCCCTGCGCAAGGATGACATGCATAAATTGAGAAATGATCCAAAAAAAAAAAAAAAAAGTACACTGGAGACAGAACACAGGGCACAATGGAAAACCGCACAGGGACGGATGAAGGAGATTCCAGAAAAGGGGAGGGAGAGATACGGACAGCATTTGTGAAAAGAGTCCTGGGGGAAGGCAAGGTAGCCACAATTGAGGGACAGCTTCTCCGATTCGCTTGGTGGGTCGAAGGCATCAGACAGCCGGACCTCAAACCACCAGTACCGAGAGCCTTCCTCCAAAACTTGCGGCCGTATACATGGTGGCCAGTATTTCCATGTGCCTGCTCGCAGCCAGTTTGATACATACTCGATGGCAGAATTTTCTTCAGGAGAAAGTTGCTCATCCGCGACTGGTCATTTAAACCCCCAGTACTTGGGCGACACCTTAGCGTTAATGCTACGGGGAATTTCGCTACCGGCGGGCCGTCGATAAATCGTATCGACAGCCCACGCCGCTTCAAAAAAGGTGCGGCCGGCGCGGCGCGCAGTGCCCAAGTACTGGTGGTTTAAGCAGCGAGTTCCCCAACATGGCTCCCAATTACCCAAAAGTACCACTTGTGCCCTTGCCAGATGGCACCAGGCCTAGTATGTCATGTGGTGAAGGAGTGTCCGGGAACTTCAGCTCTGTCACCAACAACACTGCCGCATAGCCGCACTTTATAGGCCCATAACGCAGCTGACGGCCGCGTGGAGACACGCCGTCGGTCGTGCAGAGTCTCCAGTAGTTGCTTTTCTCCTGGCTTAGTCGTTACGACGCGGCTTGTTCGATCCTGCTTCAATCAGGGCTGAGGAGGGAGGTGAGAACTTGTTTAGCCCTGATGCCTATAACCACTGTCCAGTCAAAACGATCACTGAATGCCAGTGGGTGATGATCCTGGGTATACTCAGGTAGGACCTTGGGAGGAGGGATGCACCGGGGATTGAGATGATGAGTAAGGGTGGGAGGCTGTCTCATAGGGGACCGGTTAGAACTTAGTAGGCAAATACATCAGGATGATCAAATGGTCAGGTGCCGGCAGACCTGTCATATGCCTAGTAGCCGGCCGCTACAGCAACCTGTACTTCAAAAAAAAAAAAAAAAAAAAAAAAAAAAAAAGATTGTTTTCTGAAGCGACACGCCCAGCATGAAGGTTGGGGTAGTTCTCCATTTCCTTTTTTCAAGAAAGAAGTGGTTGTCGGCAATTGCTCAGCTGAAATTTACCAGAAAAGAATTAATCGGGACGGTCTAGAAATGGCGGGCCAGATACCTGAACATTAATCTAGGGGAGCTGCAAGGGCTGAGGTTTTTCAGGGATCACAAGAGTAAAAGTCATCTAAAGCCCCCTCGCTGCTGTGGCA